GTTTATTCCAGCAGCGACCACGAGCAGATTTGTGAATCCCAGCTGCTGTCAGGCTGGCCTTGATGCATTACAGCTGTGTTACATCACATCAGAGTTGCTCTCAAGCCTCCTGATGAAGCTGCTTTGTGTAAATCTCCAAATACTGCTAGAGTCCTTTCCAAATAATGCTTCTAAAATATGTTATTAATTTCCCGTGGAATTAGGGCCACTGTGAGCAAGGGGCTGAACAAAGGCAGCTGCTGTGGATCTGACATCCTTCACCTCATGCAGTCCTGCTGATCTCTTATTACTAAGAGAGGAGGTTGAGATGGGATATTGGGAAGAAATTCTTCCCTGTGAGGGTAGGGAGGCCCTGGCACAGGTTGTCCAGAGAGACTGTGGGTGCCCCATCCCTGGAAGTGTTCAAAGCCAGGTTGGATTGACCTCTGAGCAATCTGGGCTAGTGGAAGGTGTCACTGCCCAAGGCAGGGTATGGAACTGGATGATCTTGGAGGTCCCTTCCAACCCAAACCATTTCCTGGCCTAATTCAAATGACTCTTTGATTTTACCAGGTTTCTCCAAACCCTGTTTGACACTTCAGCTCACCAACAGATTCCCCAAATTCCCCAGGTTGATGCAATGCAAAAAAAGGCCCCTCTTGTGGGAGCCTCTGCTCTGAGCACTAATCCAAGACTCATTCCTACTTTCTGTAAGACTTCCATTTCCCCACATCCCCCACAGGTTATCTTAGGCTTGCTTTTCTGTGTTTAGCTTGATAGACTCCCCATTCTTTGCTGCTTTCCTCGTGTGGGCATTCCTGTGCTTTTTGATGGCTTTTCTTAACTTTTAACAGCCTCCTCTGTGTTTACCTCTCCAGGTTATTTTACAGTCCAGGCAACGATGTGAACTAAGGATTTGAGAGGCTCAGGCAATTGTTCTGACCACTCAACTGTAGGTTATTCTCTTTTGGGATAATCTGACAGTAATTCAGAGCAGCAGCAGCAGCATGGATGTGTCTGGGGAGGCTGTGGGTGTCTGTGGTGGGAGCCATAACCCTGTTTCCTGCAAAACCTACTGCTCTGAATAATATTTCGTGTTACCTACAGAAACTTTCGGTTTATCAGCGCAGATATCCATTTAAATCTTCCTTTCCATGACTTGGTTACTCAGGCAGTGGCAATGAATTGCAGAGCTCAGTGAGTGCCTGGTAGTTAAAAGACCCTGGAATGTTTAAGTGTCTTCCTTTACGTCTCCTGGTTGAATCAAACTCCTTTTCTTACCTCAGCAAAACCCAGGCAGGTCTTTGAAAAGTATAACTTAGTTATAAGAAAGGAAATATAACAACTTCCACATTGGCTATGGACAAAGGATGAGCGAAAAGCAAGACTCAGGAGCGAGAAAGCTCTCCTGGGAATTCTGAACTGAATCTGTGATGCAAAAATATTTACATAAAAAGGAAGTTATCTGGCAGCGGCAACCACAATTAGTCCAAATTTCATGCCAGTTCACTATTTCCTGATTATGTGTCTCTGTGCATTAAGGCTGTCTCTGTAAGATGCACTCTGAACTTCACATGGAAGGACAGCCCCGCTGCTGAAAGAGCCATAATTCATTTACTAACAGCCCCTGTTGCTGTGCTTCAATAATGTAATCATTTTCTTTGTGTCCCAACCATATGATTATTCCTGTTGTGTAGGAAATTTAAGTCCAAGGAATGTCAGATCAAATATAAAAGCCTAGTGCTTACCCATAGTTTTTATTCAATTAAGTGGCCATTACAGAGCTCATGCTGTTTCAAATGACATAATGCAGAACACAAATGCAGTTTTTTTAATCACAAATATATGTTCATCTAAACAAAATGGCACCAACACAATCCAAACCCATTACAATTTTTAAATGATTATGCTAAGGCAGCTATTATATGGTGAGCAGTCGCTGTGAAAGACAAGAGGGGGAAACTGGGGCCTCCACAAACCACACTTTGAGCACAGCAGCGGCGTTGTTGGAGGTTTATTTGGGAAGTTTTTAGAGGGCAGAGAAACAGTGCTGCTAAGAAAAATATGCTGCTAGAATGAAAAAACACCAAGCTGCAGCTTGGAGAGCTCTGATTTTGCAGGGGGTGAGCTGGGTAGGTTGTGTGGGGCCAGGACCTGACACACCCACAGAGGTGCCCCAGGCAGGCTCTGGGCAGCATTTACCTATTGAAGCCCAAACTAAGCTCTTAAAAGCCCCTTCCATTCCCACCCAGGCTTAGGCTGTGCTTGTTAAGCACCTCACACGCCATCTCTGCATGTGCCTTCTGCATCACCCACAGGACCCACGAGGCTTCCTCTGCTCAGCATCCCTGGGGGCTCCTCGTAGGCCAGCCAAGTGCCAGAGCTCTTGGCACCCACCACCAGCTTTGGGCTCCTCACTAAACTCTTGCCCAGCACCACAAGTGCCTTCACCTGCACAAGGCTGAGGGCCTTCCCTCTGCACCCCTCCAGCATTCCCATGGGAAGCCAGTGCCACTGGCACGAGATCCCTCTATTCCCACCCCTTGGCTGTAGCTCTCTGTTTACACGAGGGGGATAATGATGGGTTTGTCCCTGGTGATCAGAATCCTCCGGTAGGAGATGGGAGAGGAGGAAAAGAATCCCTCTGGGCAAAGCTGGGGGTGACACCTGAAGGAGTCCCAGCTCCAGGCTGTTCCCTGAGAGGCTGGCAGGCTGTCACCAACCAGCACTCCTGCCTCTGCCAGCCTGGAGGTGAGGCTCACTCTGCCTCCTTGCAACCACTGCAAACATCCTTCAAAAAATGCTTCTCATTTCCCTAGGGACAAAGATATCTGCTGGAATCCCTAAATCTGCTGATGAAGCCAAGAAGAGGATGAGATTTTTAATTTTAATTTTTTTTTTTTTAAACCATCTCTGTGTAGTTCATGTCCCACTTTAATCTAAATAGCTCCTTTTCTCTGAGTACAAGGTACTTGATTAAATCTTCTCTGAACCTTCCATATGGGCAGCCAGTTCCTGATTGGGTCTGAAGGCAAACAAGGTCTTTACTTGATCTGAAACTGGTCTAGTGCTGTTTTACAACAGGGAGAAAATAGAAATACTTCTCAATTTAAGACACATTGTTGTGGCTGTTTTTTGTTAATCAAAAGCTGGGCTAACACAGTGATAAATTAAGGGGTTCACAGTTGATCCATAACAGACCAAATGGAGACAGGCAGTTTGTTATGATTTACTCCTCAAGTCCTGAAAATAATATGAAAAAGAGAGATGGCATAGAAACAGTTCCTGATTATTTCAAGGCTGAAAAGCTGCATCAAAACCAGAGTTTAGAGATTCAGTTTCTATTTTCACAAACAAAAATCAAACCCCAAACTTCCGAAGTTATTTTGTGTCCGGTTTATTAATTAATTAATTTTTTTTTTCCACAACAGTCAGCGTGGTCCAAGCTGGGTAACTCTGAATGTCATCATGCAAAGAGGAAGGACAGGGGACAATCTCCCCACTTAAAACCCCCTTTTATCGACATAACTGCAAGACAGACAACCATAAAGCGCTCGCTGCTTCCTCCAGCTCCTCCCCTCACGCCCGCTTCTGCCTGCAACTTTTTTTTTTTTTTTTTTTACTTCCAGCTCATCAAGGAGAAAGCAATTTTTATCGTCACATTCGGCTGGCAGCTGGAGTTCTCCAAATGAGGGAAGCAGCAGCGCTCTCATCCCTCAGCACAAACCCTGCAACATACGGTGGTGCTCTCGTGTCTCCGAGCTCCAAAGTGGGGAGAGGGGGGAGAGGCATCTGGGCTGGGCTCATTTGTAACGCTGCACTTGCTGCATTAATATGAAGAGACAGATGAAGGCAGACGCTTTAATTACTTCACCCTAACTTTTCTTTATTACGACATCAAGTAAAATGGTGAGTTACAGAGGGTAAAATGGGCGTGAAAACACCTGGGGATGAAGTCACACGACAAGCTCACGGGTTGTTATCTGCCGATGGGGTTTTAAATACTGATCGTTTCTGTACATGCATCTTTGTGTTATTTCTGGGGTTTTTTTTTCTTCGATAAATCATTTCGGGGTTGCTTTGTTTCCACGCTGTGAGGTAGCTACTAGGACTGGGACCCCGCTTTTTTCTTCTGGAATTTTCTGAACTGGGACTGTATCGCCACGGCCGCCCGCTCTGTCTCTGGAGCATCCATGTCTATGTCAAACTCCTCTTGGACCTTCTTTTGCCCATCTGCTCAAGGAAAACAGAAGAAAACGTCAACAGTTTTTTTCCAACAGTGACGATCACGGGTGGGAAAATCTGCCCCTTTTCTCTTTCACAGGCACGGCCTGTGACGATGAGGAGCATATTCAGGTTAAAAAGTGGAACCAGATTTGTCAGACGCAGCTGATCAAATTCCCCCCCCCACCCCTGCCAACGTGACAGCCTGGGGGTAGCTGGGCACTGAGGAGTGGGCATCCAAATGGTGCTCAGCACTCACCCAGCATCACCTCTGCCTGAGCACAGGATCACACAATCTGCTAAGGATCAACAAGTCCAACCCCTGGCCCTGCACAGGACCATTCCCAAGAGTCACACCAGCAAGTCCCACCCCTGCCTGGGGAGCTAAAAGTGAGGTGAAGAGAGAAGGTACAACTGAAAGGTCTTTTTAACCTAAATGACTCTTTGATTCTGTGTTTAGTCTAAAACAAAGGCAGCTTAAAGTATTTTAATGTAGGGATTAAGACCTTGTTCCTACCCCACCTCCCACATCAGAGGAAGAGATAATATCTCCTAAGGCTAATTTCCATCTTTTTCACTTGTTTCCTGCCTCATCCCTTTCAACACTTACCGCTCTTCCCCTTTGAATCATTTATGTCCAATCTCCCCACCACTGTGCTGCTTCCCTCACTTCTCTCCAGGCTCTGTTGTTGCCTTTCATCCTCAATCCTTGGCTCTTTGCCTTCCTTTATTCCCAGTCCTCAGCCTTCCCTTCAGCTGCATTTTGGCCTCCACGTGGACAGCCCAGCTGACTTTGCTAAATTTTGCTTCGCCCACCTACACGTTAAAAAGTGCAGCCCTGGCAAAATCCCTGCCCTCCTTGGGAAGGTAACCCTAAAAAACTGCCTGGACTAAGGAAGTGAGAGCACATGTTCGCTCCACTAACCCCGTCACGCCGCCGAGTTTCTCTTCCCTATCAACTTGTTTGTTCAACTCACTTATGTAACTGCTGTATCCCAAGCCTGCAGTGAACGTCATTCCAGGAGTCTGCAGGCAGCTCTGCTTGGAGCAACTGGGGGAAATGTTCCGTTTTGAACCACTTGGCTTTTTATTCTGGACATTGATGCCTTGGGGATGCTCATCCCCAGGTATGGGTAATGTCAACGAAAGGAAATGGTTTAAATGTATTGTTAAAACGAAAAAAACTTATTCCCATTGTCTCTCTCCTTCACATTAAAAACCTGGGACACCAATCCATGATTTTAGCATGAAGTCTTGCAGTATTTTGTGACTTTACTTCTTGTTCTTCCTCAGAACTCAGTTTTTGTGTCTATTCTCTATGACCGCTCTAAGCTGAGCAAATATTCAATGGGAAGGTTTTGCCAAAATTCCAGCCTGATTTTATTTTAACTGCAACAACCAAACAAACACACCTATGTTACCATGAGAGAAATATTCACTTATTATTTTATTTTACTTTTTTTAAAAAAAATTTTTATTTTACTTTTTTGAACAATTAAGAAGAAAGATGAAAATGTAAGAAGAAAAAGTCTGGATGAGAAGAACAGCTAGAGAGCTCACCAAAACTTTGGTTATACAGTAAAATAAAAAGCTAAATTATCAAAATAAAGATTTGTATGGAGGAAAATCAATCCTACTAATGTTACATCACATTTCCACAGCCATTTAATGAACGAATCTGCATGGTTTGTGCAACTATTCAAGCAACACAAACATCTTAAGTATAGAAATACAATTATTGTGTTTTTTTTTTTCATAGGGAAGAGGATGTGAAGGTCAGAAGTGACACAGCCCAGGAGAAATCTGAACCGATTTTGGTTTGGTATTTATGGGTTAAAAGCAACTGAACAGCAGAAAATAAAAGCGGAGTTTATGCACCGATTTTAGGCTCTCAGCATATAAATTCCCGTCCTTTGGAAATGTCAATAGGGAAAACCAGATGGGTGGGTGAGCAGACACAATTGGTTTGGTACCTCTCGATGAAATCTGGCTTGTACAACTCACTCCCTGCTGCAGCCAAGTCTCAGCACTGTGTTAACTCTCAACAGTGACTCAGCAATCTCACGTTAAGATCTCACAGTCTTAAGGAAATCCAGCATTTAGGATATTTTTTTTCCTCAAAATTTCCAGGCCAGTTAAATCTTTGCTCGATGTGAATCGCCATCACTGCCTTGAAAATCAGTTGTACTACAATCATTTACAGCACCTGAAGATAACTATAACAACTTACAACATCTTAAGACCCGACTTCCTTTTTTTTTTTTTTTTAAATTTTTTTGACCCACTTTTGTTGACATCAAAGCCAAAATTCCTTATGAGCTCCTTGTGGATTTCTCTTTTTCCCAGCACTAATGGCAGGGATGAGAAGTTTTCAGCCACGACTTAGACTTGTGATTAAGAAATTAGGAGCGTTCAAAAGGGCCAAGACATTTATATGAGTAAGAGAAAATTCATCACTAACAGATGGCATGGCAAGATATAAACAGTGATTACACATATATGCCTAATGCACATTATAAAATGACATGTATATCATCTGTATATAATGTGTGATTCCCTGTATTTTCTTTCTCCCCATGCCCATCTTTCCCTTTTTATAAACATGTATAAATGTATATGTATGTATAAACAGTACATCCACATTTGACTATATAGAGAAAATATATGAATATATAGATATAATTACAGAGATAAATTTACTTAAAGAGTTTCAAGTCCTGTGTTAAACCAAAAACAGCTGGATGGAGTATTTCCTAAATTTTGGGAGTGGATGTTCTTGGAGTTCTCCCCAAAACATTTCCTATTGATGGCTGTCACAACATAGATACTTTAACAGATGAATTGTCAGTCTGGAGAGAAAATTCAGCGATGTGCCAGCTTGGGCTTTGTCTAAAGGAAAAAGACCTCAGCTTTTACCTTGAAGCTGCTTTACTCAAAGCAGCCTAGTGATTTAAAATATGTCATACCCTGCTAATTACACTGGGTTTTACTGATTAATTATGGTTAGCCACTGTGTCCCTCTCTTAGCTCTCCCTTCACAAGCTTGGAAGTGATCTAAAACCACAAGGAATTCTCACTCTCAGCGGGCCAGAGCACAGGTAAACTCTGGCACGCCCTTTACCCCTGGGCATGCTTTTTTCATTCCTACTGCTGGGGCCAAAAATTGTACCTGAAAACAAACAACCTTTTTCTAAGCTACCTTTGTGTAGCAATAAAGGTAAATCTGGATTCCCTCCCCATCCACACACTGTTGATACCTACACCTTCTGGACTATGTGCAGACTCCTTCCACATGGATTTATGAGGATCCCTGGACTACCACAGACCTACATGAGGAAACCAGGAGGACTGAGAGTGTTGTCAGCAGACTTAGACTCGTGGCTTGTGGGGTTTAGAGCTAAAAGATGGGTTGATAAACCCTGGTCTGCACTTCCCGCTTTCTGAGGGGATCTGGTTTAATTAGCACCGTAACAAACGAACCCCTCTAACCTTTCCCACCACTTTCAGCTATTCCAAGGTTTTCCCTGAAAGATTTCTTCACGCTCAGTTCAAATTCCCTCTCTTAGACTCTCACTCTTCTGAACATGCCACGACAAACCGGGGGGAGTCATTCTGCGTCCCCCCTGGGTTCTGATCACTGCCAGCAGGGATGGGGAACAGAACAGTCGTGGCTTGGCCATCACAAAAGTCTCGTATCCAGTGAGTTTTCCAAAATCACGTGTTCAATAGGGACTGATCCTGTCCGTGTGTCAGTTTAGGCAAAACTGGTCAGTGGTGGAACAAACCCCTCAGAGCACGACATCAACTGCTTGATGAGTCCCACCAGGACAAGGGACCCCCCCAGCCTGGTGCTGGCATCTGAGGACTGAAATCTGAGACAACTTGCAGGGTGAAGGTTTTACTTCACTACACTCACAGTCATCCCAGCAGTAGAGCCTGAAAAAAAAGACCCTAATTAGCTGTTTTCCAAGTCTACCATCATTTCACATCGTTGCAACTGAAAAACAAGATCTATGTGTTCCATTTCCAGATGAAACATTAGAATTCTGTCTCTGTAATCTACAACAGCACCTCATAATCCATTGCAAACACTGGATGGATAATGAAGCTGAAGGAAAACAATAAAATCTTGCACATAAATCTACCCATCAAACTCTGCAGAAATGTGGTGCAAGTGTAATTATTCACAAATGTGCCTTCAGCTATTTCTTTCATTTACTTTTCAACTAGAAAGTAAAATGAGTTGTGACAACACAGGGAGAAGAAAACACTGCTTATTCCACATGGGCCAAAAGTCTAAAGCAAAAAGTCTTGTCTTTTTTGTGACTGCTGAACTCGGGCTGAACAGACCAGACATTCCCAGAACTGTTCGTGGAGGAGCAAAAGCTGGTGGAGTGGACTTGGCAGAAAAGAGGACTCCAACTTTATCCTAAGAATTTCTCCATCCTCCAGGTGCAGAGACTCTCAGGATAAAGAATTTTATCCTAAGAAGATAAAAGAGAGATTGTTTGTCGCGTTCCGGAAAACCAAACTGCATGGGCTGAAACCTCTTAACTGGCATTTCATGTGTTAAGTGCCACCCTCCAGCCCTGCTCACACCCAACAGGAATCACAGGATCATAGTGAAGATGGAATATACTCATAAAACCACTGCATTTTTCAGGGGCTAAACTGCAGCGTTTGGGAGGGAAAAAAAAAAAAAAAAAAGATTAAATGAAGTGTGGGACAGAATCACAGCGCCCCATAACATGCCAGAAGCGGTATTTTGCCTCAGGCAGGATCATTACCTCCCGTTGCTCCAAAGATTTCTCAAGCTGTGACAATCTTTATGCTGCTCTGATCCCGAGCTATTACACCAGCCCGTCCAATGAGGCAGAACAGCCCCTAATTAAAGAGGACCTAAAACGGGCAGAAATCCCACGGATGTCGAGGCTCGTGTGGAGCGTTTACCTTCATCTTTATGTGATAGGAAGAGTCATTTTGCCTGACCGGACTCCACAAAGCAAGCA